ATTACAAGAGATTGAATACAAAATTCAGATTTCTCCCAAATCAATTATATCATAATTCTATATTTCCAAATCTAACATGGTATTAGAGCATGAAATGGAAGGGTCGAACTCACCCACTGATTCAAGCACAAATCTAAATCCCGTTCAAAATCCTCAGCCAGCTGATGACAGAAATTCAATGGCTCTTCCTCATAACCCAACTCATCCCAACAGCCCTTACTTCATTAGCAGCAACGATGGAAGAGCTCTTATGTTGGTAACGCATATTTTGAAGTCCAATAACTATTATTCATGGGCTCGGTCGATGAAGAGAGCTCTAAGAATCAAAAACAAACTAGGATTTATTGATGACACTCTATGTGAGCCGGAAGATCCTAATGATCCTTTAATGGAACATTGGTTAAGATGCAACGACATTGTCATCACCTGGATGCAGAACGCTACGGCTATTGATATCAAGAGCATCACCATCTATGTTGAAACAGCCTATCTCCTTTAGATTGATCTTGATCAGCGTTTCTCCCAACAAAATGCTCCACGCATTTTTGAAGTTAAGAATGGCATTACTACCCTGATGCAAAACCAAGACACTGTGAGTATCTATTATTCCAAACTCAAGATCTTACTGGACGAGTTATTGAACTATGAGAATATCCCTAGCTGCACCTATGGTGGCCTGAAGATAGTAATTGAAAACCAACAGAGGGATTGGGTCATGAAGTTTTTAATGGGGTTGAATGAGTCCTATAAAGAAATCAAAGCTCAAGTTCTACTGATTAAGCCGTTTCCTAGTTTGAATGAGGTATATTCCTTAATCCAACAAGAAGAAAAGAGGCGAGAAATATCAAACACTAGTTCAGTCAATTCAGATCCCATGGCCTTTCTAAGCAAAAGGAACTTCAAAGAAGGAGGAAACCAAAGTTCTTCCTGGCTAAAGAAAGACAGTTACAGATATTATTGCTCTCATTGCCGAATCACAGGCCATTCCCTTGAAAGGTGTTTCAAGGCAAATCCAAACAAGCCATTATGCTCTTACTGTCAGATCCCTGGGCATTCAGTCGACAAGTGCTATAAGCTTCATAGATTTCCACAGGGGCAGATGCTGAGTGATAAGGGAAAATTAGCTGCAAATATGGTTTCTAATCAGGTGGTGGTGAAAGACAAGGGCCAGATGTCATTAAGTCAAGAGCAATACTCTCAACTAATTGCACTCCTCAAGCCAACAGCAAATCATCAGCAGCCTGCTTCTTCATACAATGTCGAAGTTTCCACAAATCATTCCTTATCAGGTAACTTCAGTCATAAATTGTCTGGTAAACCTTTAAGTTTAACCACATTTCATCAGACCAATCATGAAAATGATTTTGAAACTCCATGGATTCTTGACACGAGAGCAACGTATCACATGACATGTTCCATCTCATTTTTTACATCCATTCAATCTAAAGTGACACACTCTGTGGCCTTGCCAAATGGTGAAAGTGTCCCAGCCACACATATGGGGACTGTGAAAATTTCAAAAAATATTATTTTGCATAATGTCCTTTGCATTCCTACTTTCACCTTCAATTTAATTTCAGCAAAGAAACTTACTCAAACTCTTAACTGCTGTCTTGCTTTCTTCTCCAACTATTGTTATGTCTAGGCCCTTTCGACATGGAAAACGNCACTCAAACTCTTAACTGCTGTCTTATTTTCTTCCCCAACTGTTGTTATGTCCAGGGCCTTTCGACATGAAGAAAGATTGGAATGGGTGAAGTAAAGAATGGACTATATCACATGGTGAGAAAGGAAGTCTCTCCTTCAGCCATGACAGAAACCATCAATCAGTTCAAGCATATACCTACTTCCTTTGCATATGTTATCAGGAATAATAAAGAGCTTAATTTGTGGCATTATAGATTAGGTCACTCTTCATACTCTAATTTCAGTCCTAATGAAAACACCTTTATCCCTGCAACATCTATCATCAGTCATTGTCTCATTTGTCCTTTAGCTAACCAACATAGATTGCCTTTTAATTCTAGCCACCACAAAACAAAGAAATGATTTGAATTAATTCACTGTGATATTTGGGGGCCTTGTAATGAATTCAGGAGAGATAATTCTAAGTATTTTCTATCTATCGTTGATGATTTTAGTAGATGTACATGGGCCTATATGCTGAATTTTAAGTCTGGTGCCTCTTCCGCCTTAGAAAGTTTTTGTGCTATAGTGGAAACTCAATTTAAAACAAAGATTAAAACCATCAAAACAGATAACGGTGGGGAATTCAACATGACAAATTTCTACAAAAAGAAGGGTATAATACATCAAAAAACGTGTGTTGAGACACTTGAACAAAATGTGGTCGTAGAAAGAAAACATCAACATATTTTGAATATGACAAGAGCCTTAAAGTTTCAAAGTGGACTCCCCTTAAAGTACTGGAATGATTTTATACTAACAGTTGTATATCTTATAAATAGAACACCAACACCTGTCTTAAATCACAAAACTCCTTTTGAAGTTCTGTTACAGGTCAAACCCAACTATTCTCACCTTAAAGTTTTTGGATGCTTAGTTTATGCATCCACTCTTGTTAATGGTAGGTAAAAGTTTGATATAAGGTCTAGGGAATGTGTGTTCATTGGATATCCTTTTGAGGTAAAGGGGTATAGGCTACTGGACTTGAGAACAGAACAAGTATTTATCTCAAGAAATGTCATCTTTCGTGAAGAGATTTTTTCATTCAAAAACATGAATTTCAATACCTCCTTGACTGATTTTGATCCCCCGTCATCTCCAATGACCCTCCTGTGACCCCCTCAGTTGATAATGAGCATAACACTTCAAAGAATTCATCTTATGTAGAATCCCCTAAAGGCACTGATCTTAACATCACAGAATCCAACACAGCCATTGAGTCTTTTGAGTCAGATCATCCTGTTATTACTTACTTACTCCGCAGGTCCAACAGAATTCGAAGGACTCCTCTTCACCTACAAGACTTCCTATGTCAACAAGTCTTTTCACCTCTCCCATTCCAAAGGTTCTGCAACAGAAAGGATATTGGTACCTCAGGCAGTAAGTATCCTCTAAATAGCAGCATTTCCTATGAAAAATTATCCATCCCTCATCGTGTTTTTGCTACTTCTATAACAAATTACTCTGAACCTAGAACCTACCAAGAAGCCATAACCTCACCTAAATGGTGTGTCACGATGAAATCTGAGATTGAGGCCCTTGAACTTAATAACACTTGGTTTCTAACTGATCTACCACCTGGTAAGGAGGCCATAGGATGTAAGTGGGTATATAAGGTCAAGTTCAATGCTAATGGCAATGTTGAAAGGTTCAAAGCACGCTTAGTAGCAAATGGATACTCTCAATTAGAAGGGCTTGACTATCACGAGACTTTCTCTCATGTGGCAAAGTTAACTACCATCAAAACTCTGGTGGCAGTGGCAGCAATGAAGGGATGGAATTTGTGCCAATTTGACGTCAACAATGCATTTTTGCACGGTGATTTAGATGAATATGTCTACATGGAGTTGCCCCTGATTACTCTAATACTAGTAGCAACAAAATATGTAAGTTACGTAAGAGCTTGTATGGGTTGAAGCAAGCTTCACGCCAATGGTATTCAAAACTCTCTGGCTTTATTGTTCAACAGGGATACACTCAATCAAAAGCGGATTACAGCCCATTTACTAAGCTAACTGGTGATGATTTTACTGCTATCTTAATTTATGTCGATGATATAATAGTGGCAGACAATTGTCATGATTCAATCTGCAAACTCAATGCTTTTCTCAATGAGAAATTCAAAATCAAAGATCTAGGAAGGTTGAAGTACTTTCTGGGAATCGAGGTAGCAAGGTCCAAGGATGGGATACACATATACCAAAGGAAATATGCTTTAGATATTTTGGCAGACTCAGGGACTATAGGGTCAACCCCTGCTAAGATTCCTCTCGATCAGAACATTAAACTCAGCAAGGATGAAGGTGAGCTATTACCTGATCCATCCCTCTACAGAAGACGGATGGGAAGATTATTATACTTGACAATTACCAGACCTGATCTTACATACTCAGTTCAATTATTAAGTCAGTTCATGGGAAGTCCTAAAATTCCACATCTACATACTGCTCACAAGCTACTAAGGTATATAAAAAGGGCTCCTGGACATGGGCTCTTTTATCCTACAAAATCAAGACTACGGCTAGAAGGATACTGTGATTCAGATTGGGGGCGTGTGTTGACAGTAGGAGATCAGTGACTGGGTATTGTGTCTTCTTTGGGAAAGCCTTAATATCATGGAAATCAAAGAAACAACATGTGGTGTCTCTATCCTCGGCAGAAGCGGAATACAGATCAATGGCAAACCTTTGTTGTGAACTTACCTGGGTTGGATAACTACTTAAGGATCTAAACATAGAACATTCCCAACCAGCTATCCTAAACTGTGACAACAAATCCGCCATCCATATAGCCACAAATCCGGTATTCCATGAAAGAACCAAGCACATTGAGCTTGATTGCCATTTGATTCGAGACAAAATACAGGATCGAAGAATTATTACTCAACACATTCCTAGCACATACCAGATTGCAAATATCTCGACTAAGGCCTTAAATTCTCAAAGTTTCTATTCTTGTTTATCCAAGATGAGAGTAATGAATATTTACTCTCCAACGGGGGACTATTAAAGCAGCTAGAAGATGGAGATCAACTGCAGCTCGGTCAGCAAGAGGATATGAACCAGCTGGAGCTCAATCAGCAAGAAGAGATGCCAACAGGGACTGATGATAAGGCA